GAATCAAATCCAAACTATGTTACCTGGAAACCAAGCCCCTGAAATCGGCCCTCCTATTGATCATGGAATCGAGGAATCTAGTGAGCAATCATGAAGATTTCACTACAACAAAATCATCCTGACTCGTCCAATTGTTAATCATGTTTTTACTAATACTAAGCCATCTATTATTTTCATTTCATTCAGTAAATTTCTTGCTCATTTCTGTATTGACTTTTAGTTAAATATTGACTTTTATATTAAAATTATTGATTGGTTGCTTAAAAAAACTAACCCAATGCGTGTTCATCTATGTTTTAATTTAAAATGAACCATATCTGGTTCAAACTGAAATTGAGTAGATGAAAAAGGGCCAATTTGATGCATTGATGATTGATCTTTTTGTGCATTCCGATTTCCGCTTTCCGCCACCTAATAAGATCACGAAAATTTGCCGAAATTATTAATACTAACGATTTTAAAATAAGCAAACCAAAATAAATGTTTGTTTTTATTTTTGTACATACAATATATTAATATGTTGAGTGTCAATCGAGGCACTAATAAACATAGCTGTTCAAAAGAATTTTATTACGATTGTTATGTCCGAGGAATAGACTTCAGCAAATCCTTAATTTTTCGTCCATTTTCTTCATTAGTTTGTGATCCTGCATCACTTTTTTTTAAGGGGATAAGTACATCCTTAACAGATTCATACGCTTTCTTTAAATTATCCACAGCCGACTGAACTGAATCCGTTCTATTAGAAGCATCTGCAACATAAGCATTTAATGAATTGAAAGCAATTAAGATTAAACACACTTTAAAGAATCGCATTTTAACTTTTTGATTTATTCGTTGAACAGTTAAAAATATCAGAACAAAAAGCTAAAATGAAATGAAAAATTTTCACTGGAATCATTCAATTTTATACATTTTGTACTAATTACCGATCTCTTGAAAACTTCTTTATTGTTTGCTTCATTAGTGTTGAATAAATATCAATTTTTTAAACTGCTGACAAACAGACATTTAACCAATGATATCTGCATCTGATGAATACCAATTTCTTTCTAAATAGAACATGTTAATCTTTATTCAAATTAAACAAGGAAAATGCGTTTGAAAATGAAAAGGTTTATTTTAGCAGCCTAACAACTCAAATACAGCTGATAAAAATTAAATTTAAAATGAGCCATGGAAATTTCAAAGTTGATAATTTGAGGCACAAAAGATGCTGTTTATCTCATTTGTGTTCAATAAGATTAATCTTCTCATATAATTCAAAGGACTTGAGTCCAGAATAAGTAAACAAATTCAATGATGTGCGACCTAAATTATTCCAACCTGAACTGCCTCATGATACTATCAAAAAAGTGTTCACTAACTGTACCTCAAACTATTAGTATCATCGACTTTTCATGACGTATACTTACAAACATAATTAACATAATTAACACAATCCTTATCGACATAATGTTATTGTGTGCGTGTCAGTGTGCGTGTGTGTGTGTGTGTGTGTGTGTGTGTGTCAGTAAATTGACTATAAATGGGCTGTAAATGGGCTGTAAATTATCGGACATGAAAGGTCACTTTTGTCGTCTTGTTTACCAGCTTGTGTTACAAGATGT